AAATGACTGGACATGTCACTTAGTGCTGTGGTTTAATTGACGTAGTGGTGTTCATTTAAAGGTTGGACTCAATCTTGAAGGCCTTTTCCAATCTTAATGGTTCTATGATATTTGACTCTATGAAACAAGTATGAAATAAAAAAATCATCATATCTGCATTAAAACCTCAAATACAATATGTGTTTTCTTTTTTAACACTAAAAGAACTATGGCCATTTCAGTATCATTCATAAAAATGGGAAAAAAGGTTGACCATACTTTCTTCATTTAAATGACAATGATTAGTGATAAAGGAATATTTCACAGAGTACTTTTACAACTAAGGATCACAATCCCATAATCCACAGCTTTCTCTGAGGAAACTGACATACTTAACAAATGGTTTTATTAAAACATAGTCAGTCCCCATTTGCACATCCTTGTTGCTATCAGCCCTGCCCCCTAGAGAAACACCGAAAACACATTCTGTAGCAGGAATATCTTTTCAGACTAACCTTTGTACTGACCTAACAGTGCAAGAGGTCAGAATTTTTCTGGTTTGTATTAATACCTATGCTTGGACCCAGTGAGTGCTGTCTCCCCTCTTTCAGTTTCGTCTCTGGAGAAACATTTAAAAGAGGACTGAGATGGTGCCTTGACTGACAGGTGTGAAACTTCCAGCATCAATGTCACACTTTTCTCAATGAAGACCTCAGAATGCTGATGACTTGATGCAATTGTTGACCCCTCTTCTTGTTGTTATGTGTTGTTTTTGGAACCATGGGGTACACTGGCAAGCTGAGCATAATACCAAAGTAAAAAATAGATAGTAGGAAAGCTTTTTGTCTAATAGTTTTAGAGGTCTTATTAGTAAGCCTTTGGGTATTAATTTGGTCTATGAGTATTAGTACTATCCAAATTGAACTATTAGGTTGTTAAAACACTAATAATAAATTCTCTCCAGATATATATATGGAAAAGTCTCTTTACAATTATGACCTTTTTCAAAGTACTCTGTGTGTAATTTACTGGTTAAGTGAACAGACAACTTTAAACTAAAGCACTTGGATGATGGAAGCTTCTAGCAAAGTGGCTCCAAGCAAAACCACCTCATTCTTATAGTATCTCCTGTCGCACAAGTGAGGAGGGAACTCATTATGGTCTGTAAAGAGGCCAGTTGGACCATTGGGGGAGGCAGGAAATATAAGTCTCCCTTATAGGAATATATGAAAAAAAACCTCAATAATCTCAAGCGCTCTACAAAGGTTTGGTTTTTAATCAGTCCCATCTTCCCACCTAAGGAGCAGATTCAATAAAACATGATCAAATGGAAAACTACTGCTCTTAATCTATTAAATGTTTTCTACAATACGTACACTGAGCAGTACCGGTACAGATATAGTTAAGATATTGCTGTTTCCTATTGATTGTGAATGAGTCACATTAATTTTCTATGCATCTTCAGAGAACAGGATCACAACATCCATCAAAATTTCTGAGACATCCTTCTTGTTAGGAGAGGCATAAAAAACACCACCTCTGGTGGAGGAGCCCAGCCCAGTGCACCCAAAGACCTGTGAGTCCCTCTCTCCTAGACCAATGGATGCAGCTGTTGCATTCCTGTTTGCAGGCTCAACAGCAACTAAGAGCATGTATGCCAGAGACACACACATGCAGAGGACACTAATGCAGCCAGCTAATAGACTACCCACAGATGCAGCATTGCCTTTAACAGCACACACACATAACGATACCATATTGAACATAAAACGTGTACAAACAGCCAAATCCCAGTCCTCTTCTCAGATTGATCAGGATTGAAGCTTGCTAGTAAAAGTACACATCTCCTTACTCTCTCTTTCAAAAGCACAGACACATTTGTGAACCCCTTGAATATCAGTGTGGGACCTCAGCTCATTTAATATTGATATCCAGAGCTTGGGCCTCCTACTCATCAGACAGTCCAGCTTAAAGGCTGCTAATGAAGTGCAGGTGCACATTTATGCATGGGCACACACACACACACAAGCTGAGGGGAAAATATAAACATTCTGATCTTCCTAGTGGCTCATGCCCAGGCACACAGGCCCTGTCACTCTTGCTCCCCCTCTCCCTGCTGATGCTGGGACTCTCACCCGCTTCAGCTGGCATCAGGCATGGGAGCCACATCACCCAAGGTCTCATGCCAGTCACTGGCACTAAATTGACTCACTGCAGACACACGTTCCTATGATCTGTGGTCTTCCTTTAGCTGCTGATGCTGAGACCCTCATTCACTCCAGCTGCTGGCACCAAAGACATTAAGACAGTGGCCTATCTCCAGTTGCAGCCTCCAAATTCAGTCACTTTGGTATCTCCAGTTCTTTCATCTAGACCTTACAACACTCACAGATGGGAAGAGAGCAAGATTGTATGGAAAAAGAGTTAAGAAATATTTAACAGAAAGAATGGAGAAATGGATAGACTACAGTGATTCATGGCAGGTCTCAGTCGGACAAGAGTACTAAATGGTGAACTATTTACACACTACCAGCCTTTTTTATACCTCCTTCCTCTTTGTACCCACCTCATCCTTGTTTCACCCAGATTCCCTTCCCTTAAACATTTCTTAGTAGGTCTAAGGGTGCAAATTTTGGTATGAATTGGAGTATTCAATCATAAGAATAATGGCAAGCCTAATGTTAGCTCTTTGCGATTAAGTTATGTTAAAAATGAGCTTTTAGGAAAGAGTAAAAAGAGGTTTGAGATCTCAGTGAATGAACGAAGCAATTAGTATATAATAAAAACACATAATTGACATAAACAATTTACGCTGCTTCTCCCATAGATCCATTCTATCATTATGAACGCAACTTAAACACAGAAACCTTTACTTATTTTGAATAAAACCTTGCAAATAATAATTGTAAATATAAATTTAAAATAATTTTATTATAATTTTATTTGCTTCTCATCAATTTACAGTAACAAGAAAAATTCATATTTTCATTCAGATCATGTGAAATAGTTGCTGCCAGGGTCTTATCTCATTTTAGAAAAAAGATATGACAAAGTTTGCAAAATCTTAATCAAAATGAGCACAATCTTAGTATTATGTTTGTGTTTTCTGTGTAAAAGTTTAATATCAAAACAGAAGAATGTTTTGAATTTCCTGTTAATTTCAGACAAAATAACAAGTGAAGTTACAAGATTCATAATCTCACAACTCACCTTTTTTGAGAATATCATACAGCCACCATGAAACAACAACAGAAAAATGTCTGTTTTCATGCAGGCTGGTTTTTTTAGGTAACTATTATTGAAATTTCCTTTGTGATAGCAAATACCTGAACACAGTATCATAGGAAGAAATGCAAACTTAAAGCAACTACATTTGGTTAGAAAATAATTGCAAAATTATACTGTATGTTAGTCAACCAGTCTTGTTGCAAAGTGTGCTGATATACTACAGACTTTTCTCTTACAGCAGGACCTGGGGCAATTTATATCAGAGGAAGAAAATATGAGTTAAATTCCTGTAAGTCTGTCTTCTCCTTCTATGATACTTATGCTTAGGAACAAGGAAGGATTCCCTATTTCCTTTTAGCTAGGTGGAGAATAAAAAGGCAGCTAGTGCACATTCAATAGTCTCTTTTTCTCCTTCTCAGTCCTTTACAGCTACTTGAGGGGAGGTTGCAATGATTGCTGCCATCCACTAGTTCAGAGTATTGAACTGTTTTTATGTCATGATGGGTTTTGGTTTACTGTATCTGGAAGGGTGTTTCTCCTGTCTCCTCCTCTCTTCTCCCTCATTGGGTCAAAATTGCAAGAATAAAAAAGATTTTTGTAGGGAAAATTTCAGAAGCACTGTGCCCACACAATTTGCATGAAAGGACAAGAGTGAGCGTTCTAAAAAGATATGGACAATGAGTAGGGCAAAAACTAGCTCTAGAAAACTCTACTAACGGACTGGGGTTTTTTTTCAGTTTTCTCAGAATTATGCTGACTGTGATGCTTCTACAGTGAAAGAGAGGGAGAAAAGGGAGAGTAATATCAAACACATTTACTAAGAATTTAAAATTCAGCATGCCTATCCCATTTTTATAAAATATAATTCTATACAGACTTAAATATCAACAAGACTTTTCAGTCTTTCATTTTGAAAATAAAGATTGGCTTGTTTGGCTCTTGGATCCCTTATGCCTTTCTTTTTTTCTTTTAACTCTTCATCTCAATGTAATAATTTGTTTATATTCTATGATTGTCAGGGATAATTGATGCTTCCAAGAAAGAGAAATTTTGAAAAGTTTTGCTGTTGTTGAATATTCAAGAGCTAGCTTTATACGTAGCTCATTCTTAAAGAATGTTCTTCTGAGTATCGCTACTTTTCTTATATCAACAGTCAATTTCTGCTGTGAAGCCCAGAATTAATAGTGGTTTTAAATTTGACTGCTTTTCTAACTCCCCAAAAATTGTTTACAATAGGATGGCTTTAGGTACATTTTGATTAAACTTTTCTCATGAAAACATCTTATTTGTCCAATATATCGTAAATAAACCAAATAATTTCCTTCTTTTTAATCATGACACCCTTAAATCATGAGATTGTTGACTCTGAATTATTTCCATCTTATATTTCTAGCACATCTATTAAGAGTATACTGAAATTATGAATACAAATGTCATGATCGTTCCAAATCATCAAATCAGAAAGAGCTCTGATTCTTGTAAACTCTGCTTTTAAGAGATAGTGAGAAAGTGATTATGAGTCTTCTTTTGTTATACCACCAATAGGTGAAAGGTACCAAATATGAAAACTTCTATCATTTGTATGATTTCACTTTAATATATGAGTGCTTTGGAATAGTCACATGGAAGTCTGATTTCTTTATTTTATAAAACTTATTCTTAAAAAAACCGGAGGACATGGCAAACTGTGCAAAAATAATTTAAAATAACTATTTTAATAAAGCAAAAGTTCATACCATTATTATAACACAGAAAACCATTTTTGTTCCACAGGCAACAAAGGTGCTTCTTACCTGTAAAGCCCTTGTCACAGTTACAAAGAAAAGTATTTGGAGTAACATTGACGCAGTTGCCATTGAAACACGTAGATGGCTGGCACTGTCCAACTATTTCTGTACAATTTTTACCTATTTGAAAGGAATAATATGAACATTGAATTTTACAAAATATTTAGGGGTTTTGGTGAAGTATTTTTAAATGTCAAATGTATAGCTACAATACAGATAGGCAGATGGATAGTTGGGTACTTGTGTTAACGTTGTTCATTAGTTTTCACTAAAATTACTGAAATTCTAAAGCAAGACAGAAAGATAATCTGCTTTTATAGGAGCTACTGTGCTCAACCTCATCTGTCATATACTCACGAATTCACATATACCTTAAAATGCAGAAATGCTGCTGAAACAGTTGTATTTTTTTCTTTTTAACATGAATCTAGCTTAATGCTTCCTCCAGCATTGAGAACAAGAGATGTTCTCATGTAGAGTGGAATTTGACAGAATTTTTTTTAATATGCAGCTTTCTGGAAATTACAGTTCCAGTTATAAGTTTTTAATGTTATTTCAGCATACAGGTCTAAATACCATATAATTATGCTTGCCACTTGAATTACTGCTATGACATTATTGACGGTTCAACAACTTTTCAAATTTCTAATTGACTTTATATTATGGGAGGCACTTTTTCTCCCTTATTCTTGTGTAGCCATGTCCATACTATATGGTGGTTTTTCTTCCTAATTCTTCTTGTTTACATACAGCTTATTTATGGGACCAGTACTGTTAGTACAAAATTATGGCACTACCCAAAACTTTCCTATATAGGTTCACAGAATATTTCAAGCATTGCTTGTTGATAACATTAGGCATGATGATTGCTTTTAACAGAATTGCTTGTGAATTTCTCCATTAATTTCAGTTAAATTAGTACCAGACACTTTTTGATATTATTATTTTCAAAGCCTTTTATACAGCCCCCAAAAATCATAGCAGAAATATTAAACACACTGCATACCATCAATTTTTTCCACTATATTACTACACTTTGAGTAATTATAAAAATATTGTACTCATAACATTGACTCATTCATACCTGCTTAATCTTCTATTGACAAATGCATTAATAACCAAATTATTACACGCTTTGTAAAGCGATTAAAAATAAATTACAGCAAACTTTATGCAACATAACCTTCATTCCTGTGTTCTATGAACCTCACTTGTTCATGATTCATCAGCTATGTTTCATAGCATTAGCATCACCATTGCGAGAACACAGAAGTCCAGTCCAACAAAGGAACATTGCAAGAATTCTGTTCCACAAATACAAAAAGAGCTACAACAATCCATTTTGTGATGTGAATTAATATTTCTGGAACTTTCTAAAGCATGCCCAAATTCCATTGGTTTGAATCCAGGAATAATATACAATTTCCTTAATCCTCTTTCTTAACCCCCTGAAAGGAAGAAAATGGCTAAGAATTTATCTAATCGTGCTGTACTCTCTGGTATTGGAATCCCAACACTAAATTCAGTTTCTCCAATGAGTTTTGAGTAAGTACTGCAATATTTCCTAGATAGAATCAGATAATTTTTTTTCTTTTGTGAAATATTTAATTTGATGATAACAGTATGTTTAATGAATTCCTTTTGGAAGGAACTTTACCGTACAGAACAATCTGGAAGAAAAGATTAAGTATTTTGCTTTGCTTCTTCTTCTAATTAAATGTTTGACCTTTCAATTAAAAACAAATTTTGATTTTAAAAATTTCCCTAGTGTAACTTAAAGGTCCTTAAAACTGAAAAGGGAGGGGTTTTTTCAGCAGATTGAATGAAATGCTCAATAAAACCATTTACTTTTTTTCAGCAGTTTGATTAAGTAACTATTTTTGGGAGTTTACTCCAAACCATTTATGTTATTTGGTATAAGAATTTAAATTGCTGAACAACAAAAAAAAAATCAGTTACTTCTGTAAGTTCTCAAGCGCTTATTAACATCTCGTGCTTAAGTAGGAAAGAAATATGATAAGAACCTATTCTGTTTTTCTGTACAATGCACTTATGAATATCAGCAAGTACAAATTGTCTTCAAATTCTTGCACAATCTCCCATAAGTGACTATTTGTAAAAGTGATTCAGTGCAGGTGTGGTAGTGGCAGTGGAAAATCAAATTATATAAAAGCCTTGCTAATTATGTTCTCACTGTTTTATCATCCATTAAGAAAATATATGATCCATGTAACGTTTATTCCTAGAAGATAAAAGAAATACCTGAAAATTTTGGAGAACATGTGCACTCGTAAGAATCTCCAGAAAATTCTGTCTTCTCAGTGCAGGAGGCATTGTTGTGGCAAGGTTTGGTGGAGCATATATCAAACTTCTGGCAGAATGTTCCAGAATAGTGTGAGAAACAATGGCAGTTATACGCTTTTTCCCAAACATGGCTTAGACATTTTCCATGCCCAGAGCAGAATGGTGCATTTGGAGACTGTTGGCAAAACTGCTGCTTCACAGTTACGTTCAGACGAAGGCCCATATTGCACAATAGGGGGCCTCTCTTATGAAGTTCTGCAAAGTAATGAGTTCCAACACCAAGCCAGTTAGGATCAACTTGGTGCAGTCCTCTTATCTGGCAAACAAAAATCAACTGTTCTTGAAGAAAAGCAGCTTTAGGGCAGTTAATAAATTCTTCCTTGGAGACGTTTACCAAGTTCATTCCATAGGACTGAAAGGATGGCTCAGAAGCGATGAAGAGACTATCACCTAATTGAAGCTGTAAGGGGCATATCTGAGGGATACTGAGGTTTTGTCCTCCCAAGATTTCCCCAGTAATACTTTTATTCATATTCCAGCATTCGGTGTAAAAGTCTGAGCAGACATTTGCCCTTGGTGTCCATTTGATTACAGTAGGTTTTGGTTCCACTCTCCATTCAGCTGTCATTTGCCTCTCACATATTACCTGCCCATTTACAACGCAGAGTTGAAGAAAGCACACTAACATGGGAACTGCTGATTTTGTAGTCATCATTTTACCTGGCAAAGGGAAGTTATCTTTCACACCTGCTTCATTACTGAGGATACCTTCAGAACACTTGTTCCTTAAAGTTCTCTGGTATTTTTCATGGCAGCCTAGGAATTCAAAGAGAGGAAAATATTTGTTTTCACACCAAATACATTTGAATATTAAATCCTCATTACAAGTACAGAAAATGTACAACAAAGCAAGGGCAACGTCTAATTACTCTAATGGAAAACTAAAATAAGTCCAATTAACTGATCAGAACTATAACACTTTAACAAAAGTCAAATTTTTCCTATTTTTATTCCTGCTAAAAATTTGATTTTTATTTAGTACATTTCATTGTACCTTCCTGTGTTCCCCAAAAATGTTATTCAAGTTAAGATAGGACATCTGTGGCAAAACTAGGAACATCTAAGCTCTAGTCATGAGTTTTAACTATAAATATTTTCCTAAAAATGATTTATTAGTTTACGATAAAAGTAGATATTCTGAAGACGTAGGCATGAGAATTCTGGCTTTATGAAGAAAACATGCAAGCAATCCTCAACACTTTTCTGTTCTTACACACTCAGCAAAACACTTCATTAAATCCTTACTTTTCAAAGTACATATCTTAATCATATGTTTGATGTTTTCATGTATCACAGTTAAAGACAACAGACTACATAGTCCTCCACAACTGTTTAATTTATAAATTAGCCTTTTTTTGTCCCTTGAATATATCTAGCAATTTTTTATTGCATGGAAATGAGTGATTAGAGAAGGCAAACCAAAATAAGATTATATATAAGTAAGCTTTTTCTTGGAGTCATACTAAAAATGATGAAAACATATTATGTTTAATACCTTGGAAATTTTCCATAGCTTTATGTTAGTAAAAGTTTAATTTGACTTAAATATAATGTTTTTTCTCACTTTTAGTCTTTTTCCTCTCACTGTACTTATCTGACACTGTAAGATAGTGGTTTCTATACTGACATTTACAAATGAGAAAATTATTTGAAAGAATAAAATCTATCTTACAAGGGAAGACATTTAATAAAAATAAAAAATAGTATTTATAGTTTGAAATTTGTTCACATTTTTCTCATTTTTGCACAGCACGTGGAAACACATGTGGATGCATATTTTTCTACGCCTACATGTACCTGGTCTACCGCTAAAGTGCATGTGGATTATGATACTGATTGAAGTACATGATTTCCTTAAATGTCCTCCTCTTCTCCCATGTACTTCAAGAGTATTTTGGACCATACTTTGGACTATTCTGAAAGATCAAAGCAGGACAGAAAAGATACTGTTTGAGGAAAACTTTAGTTGAAGAATATTAAAAGACTCAAGAAGCTGCTGCAAATTATAGGATACTATCAAAGAGTAGCATTCGGTCTCTCCCATTATCACCTAAATTGGGATGAAAACATCTAAAATTTAGCTACATCCTATTAGTAAATTGCTGAGCATGTGAACCTATCCCAATGACCTTTGTGAAGCAGAATGATCAGCACCGTCTAAGCATTCGAAGATACCAGAAAAGTGTAGACTATGACTAACTAGTAGTAATAATAGCAGACTCAAGCTTTAGAATATTAAACTCAGAAGGGGTAGGAACCAGGGTTTGATCCTTCTCCCAAAATAGCTTCTGTTTTGATTTAATTACTGAATCCCGATTCTGCCTTCAAAGAGTTTCGGTACTCTAACCACATAGCTCCAGAGCCAGGCGAGTATGTTAATTTCTAATTTTCTCTCTCTGTCTCTGCATTTCCACCCCTGAGAGTTAACTCCCCATAGAAAGAAAGAAAGGACATGGATCTGCAAGAAAACTACGACCCTTGTTGCTGAATACTCATTGTCTTTCTATTTTGAGACCATTCTATTATCTTCAGAATCTCATGATGTTCAATGATACCATTAGATAATGGTCTATCAAATGTGTAGTTTGGATCATTTAGCATTTTTTTCTTTTCAGGTAGCAGTCTTGAACTATTAGATTCATTATAGCTGCTATTACATCTGTCACTATTATCAGGTATAAAAGTCTATGCTCTATATTACTGCATATTTAGAAATCCTACATTCAGCAGCCCATCTTTTCATACCATAATGAGATTTTCTCAGTTGGTACTAAAATAGGCCTTTATAAAAGGTTATTTTTCTTTTTAGATACTTCGAAGAGAAAGCTATTACATGTTTAATGCAGAAGAGTTCCTGCCCACTTACATTTTGCCCTTCATTCATGTAATTATGCATCATTATGGTATCACACATAGGTTTAATTTTTACTGGTAAAGAAAATGTGCTTCCTCACAATATTTGTATGGGGTAAATCTGGAATATTTTAAAATAAGTTATTGGTAGCATTTTAACAGTTCATACTCTTCACAAAAATCATTATTAGTCTTCATGCCGTCAAAAAATTATTATGGGAGCACTATAATTAATAATATTAAATAAACAAAATCATCCTATAAAAGCAATGGAAAAAAACACAGGGTAAGATAGAAAAGAAATACCAAGAGATTGTTTATTCAGCAATAAAATCATGAAGGAAAAAAGTTTTAGAGGGAAGAGCATAAAAAGCAAAAAACCATACATGAAATACAGTTAAAATATTAACATACCTTGCATAGAAAATCAGCCAAGAAATTAAATAACTGCAAAGTGCTGATGCCATATCATGAGACAAAAAATGTGATAAGATGAAATTTGAAGTGATTTTGACAACTTTCATACCTTAGGTCTGCTTTAGGCAAGGAGAAAATCTTCCTGTCTATAACCTCAACTGGTTCCATGTAATTGATGAAGACCAAAAAAAGTTCAAGACTGGTATTTGTATGGACACACAGATACTTGAAGAAAATCGAACCCTTAAAGTTACATTAGGTTGTGTGAAATCAAAACAATGCTCTATTTTGTACTATTGTAGAACTAAAACAGTTAGGTTTATGTAGAATTTCAGGGAAGTAATTTAAAAGCAAAAATGAATCCCAAGTTATTTGTTTTCAAGTCCAGCATCTTAAAGATTATGTGTTCTTTCTATTAATAACAAGTATGACATACTAGAGACAAAAATACAATATATTATAAGTGAGAGTGGAGAAATGCCCACTGAAGATAAATAACTCCAATGACCTTCCAGGGAAAAAAAAATCTGCCAAAGAAGAGGATAAACCAGAAAATGTTTAGGAACATCATGTTACCATGTTTTGGTTAGGAATGGACCATCTCTTTCCACCTTGTCACATGTCACATGCACACTTTTTTGAATTACTACCTGTGTTTGACAAACTCTGGTAGAATGCAATTGAAACCTTGGATCAAAATGATTTAAAAAGAACTGAGAGAATGTTGTTGGGGGGCTTGCAAAGTGTCCCTCACCTTCCTCAGGAGCTGCATTTAAGCTCAGGTTCTCACTCTGGGTCCTCACCTGGGTTATGCTGCAAGTAGAGCTGGTACTTGACCTTATACCATGATTACCCAAATGTCAAAAGTCAAGCAGGAGGGGCAGAAGGCTGTCTTCGCTGAACAGGAATCTTCTCTTGGAGATAAGGCAAAAAATTAAGGTGTATGCCCAGTGGAAGTAATGTCAAGAGACATGGGAAGAATTCAGAGAGGCTGCTTGCAGCTGTAGGGGGAAAATTTGTGCAGCCAAAGCTCAGCTGCAGGTGAAGCTGGCCAGAAATGCCAGGGGCCAACAAAGAGTTTCTTTCAAATATATTAATGGCATAGTCAGTATAGAAATGTCATCAGTCCATTACAGGATGAGGATGGTCACCTCACAATCAGGGACAGAGACAAGGCAGAGGTGTTTAATGCTTTCTTTGCCTCTGTCTTCAACATGGATGACAGACCAAGGGGGTCTCAATGCCCTGAGCTGGAGGACCATGACTGGGAGAATGATTAACTCCCAGTCAACCCTGAAATTGTGCAGGATCTGCTGCTCCAGCTGGATCCTGACAAATCTGTGAGACCTGATGGGATTCATCCCAGAATCCTCAAAGTGGTGGCTGATTTCATCACAAAACCCCTCTCAATGACTTTTAAGTGGCCTTGGGAATCTGGAGATGTCCCAGCTTACTGGAAGCTGGTGAACACTGTCCTGATTTTCAAGAAGGGCAAGAAGGACCCTGGAAACTACAGGCCTCTCAGTCTCACTTTAGTGCCTGATAGAATTGTGGAGAAGATTATCCTGGAAGTATTGAAAACCACCTGAAAGACAACACAGTCATTGGTCACAGCCAGCACGGCTTCAGGAGCAGAAAGTCCTGCTTACCTGGTTTCCTTTGATGACAAGGTAACCCACCTAACTGATCAAGGAAAGCCAGTTGATGTAATCCTTTTGGATTTCCGTAAAGCTCTCGATACTGTCTCTCACAGGATCCTTCTGGACAAAATGTCCAGCACACAGCTGGATAAGCATCATGTGGTGGGTGGGTGAGCAATTGGCTCATGGGCGGAACACAAAGAGTGAAAGGGGTAACACCAGAATGGTGACCTGTCACTAGTGGGGTTCCTGAAAGCTCCATCTTAGGCTCTGTGCTCTTCAACATCTTCACAAATGACTTGGAAGCAGGACTGGAAGGGATAGTAAGCAAGCTGGCAGATGATACTAAACTTGCAGGAGCTCTTGACTCCCTCGAAGGCAGGGAGGCCCTGCAGAGAGACCTCAACAAATTATAGGACTGGGCAATTAACAACCATATGAAGTTCCACAAGGGAAAGTGCAGGATTCTCCACCTGGGATGGGGCAGATGTACATACAGACTGGTGAATGAGATGCTGGAAAGCAGTGCCATGGAAAGGGACCTGGGGATCGTGGTTAATGGCAAGTTGATATGAGTCAGCAGTACCCTGGCAGCCAGGAGGGCCAACCATTTCCTGGGGGGCATCAGGCAAAGCATCACCAGCTGGTCATGGGAGGCAATTGTGCTGCTCTGCTCTGCACTGATGCAGCCTCACCTTGAATATTGTGTGCAGTTTTGGGCACCGCAACAAAAGAAAGAGAT